ATACATCGGTTCCACTTACTAACTTGATTGAAATAATCCGTTTAATGGTCCCTTTTAAGGAAATTATGGGTCAAAATCGACATCCATGTTGAAAATCTTGCAAGCCGTGTTAAACTCTCGCTGCCGGAGTCATCTAAATCAATCTCATCCTTTCTAGTCTACGCCGAAGGCAAAATGATTATGAAGGAAAAACTGTGCGCCATCTACACGTTCGTAATGGCGTTAATTTACATCTGATTTAGAAATCAGGAAATTAGATCTAAAAGTAAACAAAGAAAATCGGGGAGAAAATGTCGTGGACGAAAATATGTACATAGCCACCCCCACGGTACGAGATCTCTGGGTTGCCATCTGTATTGGGGAATGACAACAAATGTCAGTTTTATTAAAGAAATGACCCAATGAGATGGCTATTGCTGTCTAATCTAGACGAGTCTACCTACATTGTAGATCTAGTGCCAAAGCTTTCATCAGTTTGCTTCTCTTATTTTTCTGCTTTCTTTTAGTTTTAGTCTTTTAGAGCAGTTGTATATTCGAGTTAGATTTCCCTTTAAAGCCATGCAGCCCATGTGTAGGCAAATGAGTAAACTGTTTTGCTTTAAATGATGCCCCATGCCATGCATACCTTCAATCAAGACCCTACATAAAAATACATATATGGGATCATACATTCCAAATCTTGTCACCAAGTGTTGAAAGTCCGAGCTCACTATCACTGACATTATAGTGACATAAGATCATACATTGAGTCTACATATCAACTTTTCAGAACAAAAAACAGTAACTATAGATTTATGTACTTTTTGTAAATAAATTAGGTAATTCTAGGACTTACCCATACTGTAAATTTGCAGGAGAAAACGAGAGTATTCAGGAGGATGATACTTGATGCAACGGCTTTTTTACTCTGAATTCAAATACATTACATACACATCGCATAGTGCATGTAGTCCTACGCCTTGCATGCCTTGAGTACTATGCATCTGTACACACACGTACACACTCCCGTTTGAACTAGATGCGAGCATGTTTAGTCTTGATCGATATTGCAGACCTTGGTGCGTGTTAAGATGTTGCACAATCTATAATGACTAATGACATTTGAGGGGGGGGGGGGGGAGTTGTTCCCTAATTTCAATTCTGATAATTGCCCTATTTACTTTGACTTATGCTCATATTAGATGTTGTAGTCTTTACTCCGATTATTATCTTGGAAATGATTAGGTTATTAGAGACGTCATAATGACGTCGTTATAACGTCGTCCTTACGACAAAAAATATCTTGGAAAATATAGTCTTTAAAAGAGGTCATAATGACAAAAAATATTTGAAAAAATAGTCTTTTAAAGACGTCGTAATGACGTCGTCGATACGACAACAAGTATCTTGGAAAAAATAGTATTTTAAAGAGGTCATAATGACGTCGTAATGACGTCGTCAATACGACAAAATTACATTGGAAAAAATAGTCTTTTAAAGACGTCATAATGACATCGTTATCACGTCGTCAATACGACAACATTACATTGGAAAAATAAGTCTTTTAAAGTCGTCATAATGACGTCGTTAGCACGTCGTCAATACGACAACATTACATTGGAAAAATAAGTCTTTTAAAGTCGTCATAATGACGTCGTTAGCACGTCATCAATACGAAAACATTACATTGGAAAAATTAGTCTTTTAAAGACGTCATAATGACGTCGTCGATACGACAAAAATTAGCTTGGAAAAAATAGTCTTTTAAAGACGTCATAATGACGTCGTTATCACGTCGTCAATACGACAACATTACATTGGAAAATAAGTCTTTTAAAGTTTAAAGTCGTCATAATGACGTCGTTAGCACGTCGTCAATACGACAACATTACATTGGAAAAATTAGTCTTTTAAAGACGTCATAATGACGTCGTCGATACGACAAAAATTAGCTTGGAAAAAATAGTCTTTTAAAGACGTCAAAATGACGTCTTTATGACGTCGTTAATACGACAAAAATTATCTTGGAAAAAATAGTCTTTTAAAGACGTCATAATGACGTCGTCGAGAAGACAAAAAATATCTTGAAAAAATTAGTCTTTTAAAGACGTCATTATGACGTAATCACGTCGTCAATACGACAAAAATTAGCTTGGAAAAATAGTCTTTTAAAGACGTCAAAATGACGTCTTTATGACGTCGTTAATACGACAAAAATTATCTTGGAAAAAAGAGTCTTTTAAAGACGTCATTATGACGTCGTCGAGAAGACAAAAAATATCTTGAAAAAATTAGTCCTTTAAAGACGTCATTATGACGTCGTTATGACGTCGTCAATGCGACAAAAATTATCTTGGAAAAAATAGTCTTTTGAAGACGTCATAATGACGTCATAATTACGTCGTCCATACGACGTACGACGTGTTTACCACTTTACGACCAATTTATGACGTCTTTAAGACGTCAGTCTGCTATCAGGGTAAGTGCATCAACATGGTATAAACCTGGGACCTTCCGGTTAAGAGACTGCTACTCTCCCACTGACCGAATATATCGGCGTAGCCTGGAACTTCTTTCAGCTGAAATACACTGTTGGTCATAATGGTGGAATAATTTTTTTACCCCAGTTTAGGGAAGGATTTAAAAAATTATTTATTTCTAATAGATCTAGATAATGGCATACATTCTCAGATTTTATTGAATATTAATTTGAGAGTGTTCGTTTTTCGTGACTGCTAAATCATATATGTGCTACTATGCTAATCAGCTAGGGAACCTACGTCCTTAATCATAATTGACAGTAATGAGGATTAATGCCTCACAAAAGGGCACTAATATAGCTGATCGACACGATTTATATCCTGGGGCCTCACAGTAACGAGGCCATTGCTTAGCCCCTGAATCATGACTGTACGCAGTGTTTGCTAGGGTACGCGGCCCCTTCCACAAATCCCCCAAAATGAAGAAAATGCAATAAATTGTCAAAAATTAATTGCATTTTTTCCCCGGCCCCCAACAGGAAAAATTCCTCTGTGTGGCCATGCCTTGAACCATAATGCATGGCCCTACAGAGAAGTTTTTCCTGTTGGGGGCCGGGGAAAATGCATTGAATTTTTGACAATTTATTGCATTTTCTTCGTTTTGGGGGATTTGTGGAAGGGGCCGCGTACCCTAGCAAACACTGCGTACAGTCATGATTCAGGGGCTAAGCAATGGCCTCGTTACTGTGAGGCCCCGGGATAAAAATCGAGTCGATCAGCTATATATAAGTGCCCTTTTGTGAGGCATTAATCCTCATTACTGTCAATTATGACTTAAGGACGTAGGTCCCTTAGCTGATTAGCATAGTAGCACAATTATGATTAAGCAGTCACGCAAAACAAACACTCTCAAATTAATATTCAATAAAATCTGAGAATGTATGCCATTATCTAGATCTATTAGAAATAAATAATTTTTTAAATCCTTCCCTAAACTGGGGTAAAAATAGATATTCCACCATTATGACCAACAGTGTACAACACCACCCCTCCTGCTCCTTCGACCCCCACTTCCCAAACTCTTCCTACTCACTCCTCCTTCTACTCCTCCTCCTCCTCCTTTTCCTCCTCCTTCTCCTCCTCCTTCTCCTCCTTCTCCTCCCCCTCCTCCTCCTCCTCCCTCCTCCCCCTCCTCCTCCTCCTCCTCCTCCCTCCTAACCTACCCTTTCTCCGGCCATGCTTCTCATCATCTACCACCCAATCTCATGAGTTGCTCTGTTTTTATTATTTAGTTTAAAATATTACCTTTGTTTCTTTCTATTTGTCTGTTTCTTTTGTGTGTGTCTTCTTTGGGTGTAATATGGGTTCTGTTTTCTTTTTATTCTGACTTGTACATTTTCAAACTAAGGTGAAAAATAATGCTCTTGGTTCAGTTGTGTATGTGTGTGTGTGTGTATTACAGACCATAGTCAGATTTTGATTATCTTGTCAAGATTAAAAATGTAAGCCTATACTAATTATCAGAATCCACAAAGTATGCTCCTCTGCCAAATATGTTGGTATTTTATTTTTACCCCAATTTATGGAATGATTTTGACAATGATTTTATTCCTAATAGATCGAGATAATAGTATACATTCTCAGATTTTATTGAATAATAATTTGCGAGTGTTTGTTTTACGTAACTGCTAAAGCATATGTGTGCTACTATGCTAATCAACTAGGGGACCTACGTCATTAAGTCATAACTGACAGTAATGAGGCTTAATGCCTCACAAAAGGACACTAATATAACACATCGACACGGTTTTGATCGTTGGGGCTCACAGTTACGAGGCCGTACGCGGTCGCCCCCACAAATACAACAACAAAAAAAACGAAAATGCAATAAATTATCAATCAATCATTGCATTTTGCCCCGATCCCCAACAGAAAAAAATCCTATGTGTGGTCATGCCTTGAACCATAATGCATGGTCCTAACTACAATACAATAATCAACAGGCAAATGTCTATAAAAGGAAATAAATATAGTTTTCCATAAATAATTAAATACGGGAGAAAGGATTCCTTTTTATATTTTGATCAAAGTTTCACTAAAAATCGTGAAAAAGAAATTCACATATTCCAATGATGATTGCATCAACAAAAGCATAGGTCTACGAACACAATATTTAGTATTTCGTCCAAAAGGTATATTCTATTTTATATTTAAAAAAATGAATATCAGAGACTTATAGAATACACACTGTAACATTCATTGTCCAGACATGTGGATCTCGTGACTATGGAATTTAGCAAGTCGGATTTAAAGAAACCAATAATCTGATAAGCCAGCATCAAGACGTCTTTGAAATAAAATTGTCTGCTTTTAATGATTATCACAAGAGGAATGCTTTTCATTATTTAGATAAGATACGTGACAAATAAGTGGCATAAAATCAGATGCTTGTTTATTATGTTGACCAAAGGTTTAACATAAACATCGCTGGAAACACGTATGAAAGAAAAAGATGAATCAAAACATGAAAAACGTACGTACCTTCTCAAATAGTTATGTCGATCCTCCAACTTGAAAACGCAAAAGAAATCATTTCTTGATGGAATAAACTATGAACATAATACCGTTATACTAGCTTCCTCATAACAAGCATTGTGTAATAGGCAAGTATGTATATATACGGCCAAGCATACATGGCACGGCGATGAAGGAGGGGGAAATCGATATCAGTCGTTGTTCGATTTCTTCATTGTGTTTGTTTGGAATTTTAGGGGAGGTGGTCGATTCATTGATATAGTTGGTCCACCCATCAGTTTACCAGGCCCTATAAGGTAACAAAGCGTGGCATATTATCTGGTGTATAGGCATGGACGGGTTGGGGGAAGGGGAAGGGGGTGAGCTTAGGGAAGCAGCCACCCTTTTAAAATTACCGATGTTCTGTCATCCGCCACCTTATATTTGGGTAACGAGTTATGCTATATTGGTCTCTTGTACATCTGCAATTATGCAGTTCTTTTACCTATTCACAGAAATTATACAGTTTTTTTTTCAACTTCCCCGTCCCTCTCTTTTCCACATCTTGTGCTTTCTCTCTTCAGTCATCGGATTCAGGCTTGCCAGCGCACAACGTAATATGCACATTCTCTACTCCCTGAGGAGCATTCCCGTCAGGCGCCTTTTTACAGACGCCACGCTCACAATACTAACCGACACCTCAATGACTCTCGCATCCTACCCGGAACCACTTTAAACCGTGGGTGGAGAGAAGTACATTTTAATTTACAAAATGTCGCTTTTTTAATCTTGCCTCGGAATGCACACATCTTTTCTATCAGAATCATGTCCCTATTAACATAATGGTCCAAAAATGGCATATTTTGTGTCATTCTGAAGAAGAAAAAAGTTTTTTGTGATTTATTTGAGGGACTATACGCAATCTCGATTTTCTTTTTTTTTTATCGTTAGCTTGACATGATGAAAGGGCATCCACACACAAAAAACAAGAACTCCCTGTTTCGAGTAAAACCCTTAACAAACTCATATAGTCGGGTGAATTGCAGTCGAAAATATGTATTTTTACACCTAAACTGGAGTACATGACCAAGCATCACATTTGTTACCGCCTTTGGTGAGTTTCATTTTACTCGATGTTATATAAACAAAATCAATTGAACGAGTATTCTCAACTGGTGTAGAAAAAAGTGAGTAAACATGCTCATGTTCTCGATGAAAATCATGTTAAATGAGTAAATCTACTGCCTAGTCAGTAAACCAAGTCATTAACGCATCACTGAGTTTTCATTAAACTGTGGGATATTTACTCATTGACTCGTTCTTCGAAAACTTCCAATACTATGTTACTTGTCAAGTGAGTGATCTCACTCATTTCATGTGTATAGGATCTAGAGTCGGAGAAAATCATCCACGAATCTGAGTACGACGGCCACATGCGCGAGCTCGCACATGCTTATGGAAAGCCGTTGGTGACTTTATTCACGTGCCCCAGACGTATGGAACGCGGCACACGTCTGCTAAATTGACCAATCATCGCCTGTTATTTAGCAGGCGCGTGCAAGGTGCGATAGCACACGCCTGTTACTTTATTAGCACACGTGTGCCTTTTTCCAGACGGATGCTGTTTACTGCGCATGCGTCTGGAATTGATTGACCAATCAGATATCTTGTTTAATATGGAGTTTAATGTGTGTGTGTACGGTGAGTGCATGCAGCGCAGACAAGCAAAAATGTGCCTTGCACGTGGTGATCGACGCACGTGGTACTCTTACCGTTCTTAAAAGTATTGACTTTGATTTCTATGTCAGAAAAGAAGTATACATTGTACTTCCATTGAGGTTGGAACTTTCTGATGCAAAGAATAGTATGCCAAATTATAAACGAGGTACCGAACTGCTATATGAACGTTTATCCTCCACCTAGTATTGGAGTTTGTAAATACTATAAAGCTATAGTCTAGGGTTGATAAAGAAAAGGTAAGTCTAATATCATGAATGGTAGTTTCCAGATTTACAATCTATCATTCAGAACCTACTCTAATTGCAAATTAGGTTATATACTATGCAACAGTGCCATTGTGATAATGTGTATGAGCCAGTGTGATAAATAGTGTTGGAACAACAGAGTGGATCTCTCCCCCTCTTCCATCTCTCCTTTATCTCTCTTGGGTCACTCTGCACAGAGGTCAACCTCACTCGTGGTATAGGGAACACACACACACATTCTCTCTTTCTCTCCCTTTCTTCCCCAATATTCTCGTCCATGTTGTGTTGTTGAGCAACACTCTCCATTGGGCAAGGACAGGGGGATTAGTGATAGGAGGCATGTTTGCTTAAGAGCTCAGATTAGAAGTTGGAAACAATGTGAAGAGTTTGCATTTGCTTGGCACAAGGGATTGTCTGACCATTATTATTTGGTAGTTTTCAATCGAATAAACCTGCTCATAATTATCCCATAGGCCTAATTGTATTTAAGGGTTGATGTTTGGATGTTGATTGGCTTATAATACAACATGTATTGCTGTATATTGCATAAGTGGAAGTTATCACATTTCTTAGAGGGCGAAAAGCTCTTACCCCCCCCCCCCCCCCCCCCCCCCCGCCAAAAAAATAAATAAGAGAGAGAGAAGGGAAAGGGAAAAAGAAGAGGAATAAGAAGGAAAGAGGGAAACGGGGGAAGGGCGAAGGGCTCTTGCCTCCTCCCCCCCCCCCCCCCACCCTTGCCAAAAATAAATAAGAGAGAGAGAGTGAAGGGAAAGGGAAAGAAAATATAAAAGGAAAGAAAGAAGAGGTATAAGAAGGAAAGAGGGAAACGTGGGAAGGGCGAAGGGCTCTTGCCTCCTCCCTCCCCACCCCCCGCCAAAAAATAAATAAGAGATAGAGAGAGAAGGGAAAGGGAAAGAGAAGATAAAAGGAAAGAAAGAAGAGGAAGAAGAAGAAGAAAAGAGGGAAACGGGGGCGAAGGGCTCTTGCCTCCCCCCTCCCGCCAAAAAAATAAATAAGAGAGGGAGAGGGAAGGGAGAGGTAAAGAAAATATAAAAGGAAAGAAAGAAGAGGAAAAAAAATAAGAAAAGAGGGAAACGGGGGCGAAGGGCTCTTGCCTCCTCCCCCCTCCGCCAAAAAAATAAATGAGAGAGAGAGAGAGAAGGGAAAGGGAAAGAGAAGATAAAAAGAAAGAAAGAAGAGGAAGAAGAAGAAGAAGAAAGAGGGAAACGGGGGCGAAGGGCTCTTGCCTCCCCCTCCCGCCAAAAAAATAAATAAGAGAGGGAGAGGGAAGGGAGAGGTAAAGAAAATATAAAAGGAAAGAAAGAAGAGGGAAAAAATAAGAAAAGAGGGAAACGGGGGCGAAGGGCTCTTGCCCTCCCCCCCCCCCCCGCCAAAAATATAAATAAAGAGAGAGAGAGAGAGAGAGAGAGAGAGGAAAGGGAAAGAGAATATAAAAATAAGAAAGAAGAGAAAGAAGAATAAGAAGAAAAGAGGGAAACGGGGGCGAAGGGCTGTTGCCTCCTCCTCCCCCCCCCCCCCCGCCAAAAAAAATGTATAAGAGAGAGAGAGAGAAGGAAAGGGAAAGAGAAGATAAAAGGAAAGAAAGAAGAGGAAGAAGAAGAAAAGAGGGAAACGGGGGCAAAGGGCTCTTGCCTTTTTTTTCTTTCTTTTCCTTTCTTTCCTATTCTCCCTCTTTTTCGTTTTTCTCTTTCTTTCTTTTTCTTTTTTCTCTTTCTTTCTTTTTCTTTTTCCTTTCCCTCTCTTTTTTCCCCTCCCCCTTTTCTCTTTTTTCCCGACGGCAGCGCGATTTTACCGACAATATCCTGACAGGGGGGGGGGGGGTGTCGCACCCCACACCCCCTTTGGAGACGCCCCTACCTACGCCACTGTTGGCGACCACAAGGCTATCAATACAAATTAAGACATATTAATGAAGATTCTTTTTTAATGTTGCAGAGAGATAAGTATTTTCTCTATGAACTTGTTTAATGGAAGGATAATAAATAATATTAAAAACATGAATACTATAGCGGTATAATGATGAGAGAGATGATTTTTAAGTCATACTTTTTTTCAATGTTGAGGGTAAGGGAATCCCCCTCCCCCTAAGATCTCGGCCGTTTCACAACCGATCGCCGCGAAAATGTGCATGCATGTCAAGTGAAGTGTATAAAAAACTATGGTAATTTCAATTTTTTGAAAAATTCACTCATTTGCATATTTATGGTAATTTATGCAAACAAGGTCAGAGAATTCACATTTTTACCCATAAATCATATATAATTCATATTCAAGCGTTCTTTTTCACTACATATATTCGTTAGAATAATAATACAACAAAGTTGGAAGAGCCAGTTTTATCCCTATATTATCTCTTGTTTTGATAATTTTTATTTATGTATTATATTGTTTTTGTTGTTTTATTTCATTTCTAACCACAATTCAAATTTTGACCCAAAAACAAACACATTAACTTGAAAACAAGACCAAATAACCAATGTTTTCTCTTTTTTTAAAAGAATAAATGGTATTTCCATATGTTTGGTACATAAATCACAAAAATGAGCGATTTTAGGGCTGACATGCAATAACAAAAGGTCACGTGACTCCGCAACTGTACGTCCAATTTTTAACAAAAAAATGTTTCAAAAGATGCGTAAGACTCGAAAGAAAAAAGTCATGAAAGAAAAACTTTATATCTGCCGCGGTTCCGGAGTAGTCGCGAAATTACTTGAGAGAGCACTAATCTTTTTGGGGGGCCCTCGAAAATTTGAAAAATCGTACCCCTCCCCCCTTGAACGCCAGGGAGGGGGAGCCTATCTCCCAAAAACGGTAAAATTAACGTGTTTTTTTACACGTTTTTTTCACAGGGCGGAGCCCTCAGAAGCTCAGGGGTATTAAACATCAAAATTAATGTCGGATGAGCATAATTTTATACCTTATTTGTGACAGTGGCAGGACACAATTTGGTGTTGGGTCCAGGGGGCGGAGCCCCCAGAAGCTCAAGAGTTTTGTACATTAAATTATTATTATTTCATACCTTATTTGTGACACAGGGGTCACGAATTGGCGTGGGGTCAAGGGGGTGGAGCCCCCGGAAGCTTTTTGGAAGGGTTTTGGGCAATAAATAACGGTCAGATGAGCATATTTTTATAT